GTGGAGAAATAGAGGATACCACTGAGTGGAAGTGACTGTTAGCTGGGATTGGAAAGATGAGATAGGGAGGCTGGGGTTGGAAAGAGCATTCTGGGCAAAGCGAACAGCAAGTGGAATGGCCCCATGGTAGGAGTAAGCAAACTTCTCTCATGGAATGGGAAAAGGAGAATGGGGAGTGGACAAGGCTAAAGAGGCAGGCAGGGGCTAGACACTAATGGGCCTCACTGACTGCCGTGAGGACTTTCATCTTTACTCTGAGAGAAGTCGGAAGCCCTTAAAAGGTTTGAAGCAGAGTAATGACATAGTCAAATTTGTATTTTGAAAAAACAAAACAAAACTGTTCTTTGTAAAGAACAGTTGGACCAAGAGCTAAGAGTAGATTAGAGAGGCCAGCTGGAAGGCTATGGCACTGTCCAGAAGAGACATGGTGATGGTTTGGACAAGAGCAGTGGTGAGGAAGACAGAATGAATTCAGAGACATTATAGCAGGAAAAATCACTCTGTTTTAGAGATGCATTGGGTATGGGGGATGGTGAGGTAAAGGGAATATCAAGGATGACCTGCTTATTAGCCTTTAGTCCAGGAAGGAACTCGGTTGTTTTGTTAGTTTGGGATCTCCCCAGGTGAAACAACCTCTTGCCGTCATACACTCAGAGATTAATGCTGGAGAAGTTACCTCTTGCCCCATGATCCTAGGAAAAGCAAAGAAGTTGCTAGTTCCTTGCCACCAGTTGGCCTCATCTTGTCCTCAGCTGCCTCCATAGCCTTTCCACTTCTCCCTGCTTCTTTTGTTCCTGGCCTCCTGAATGTCGCCTGTCAGTTTGTGTGTTTGAGTCTTTGCACACACAGCTCTATTTTGGATTCCCTATTTTCCCAGTCTGGGTCTCACTTTTTGCCTTATTTGACCCCCAGAGTCAGGAACCCCTTCAGGAAGCCTCCCCAGAGAAAGGTTTCCCCACTCTACTTTGGACATATATATTTTTTTAACCTTGAAGCATTTTGGTTGCTTTTGAGGTTAGAAGGAGATGGTTATGCACATATACTCATGTACTTAAGTTCCCATTAATTTTTTTAGCCAAAGATACAGAAACTCCCTATTGAAGTGGGGCAGCAGGAACAGAACAGCTTGTCTTGGCATGCTGTTTCCCTGGCTCCTTCGTTCTCTGGTGGAGACACAGTGGTCAGTGGAATTTGGAGTTCACTGTGGTTCTCTCAGAATTGAGAAAACGTGAATTCTTGCTACACCATTACCTTTTAATACTTAGGGTTTACCTGATCAAGTTCTGAGAGAACTCGCGCTGTATCTTCCCTTAAAGGAATTTTTTAAATATTGTCATCCTTTTTTGATCCTTGAATCAAATTCAGCATTAGCAAGGCCATGCCATCCTTTGGCAGGAGAAAGCACAGAGCAGCATTTCTTCTAGATTTCTAGTAGCTTGAACCCTTTCCCTAAAATTTTCTATCTCTGTGGCAGTTAACATTTCTCTTTGTATTCTTAGAACCTACCACAGTGGCTGGTATATAGTAGTTGCTTGGTAAATGATAACCGCATGAATGAATGAGTAAGTGTAACATTCTGCTTGTAGTATGTGATCTTGCACACTTGCTTTTTAACCAATGTTTTTTAAAATTTTTGTTACCAGTATAATTAACATACGGTGTTGTATTAGTTTCAGGTGTATAATATAATGATTGAACATATATATTAGTACTCATCATGATTAAGTATACTCTTGATCCCCTTCCCCTGTTTTGCCTACCTCCCCACCAACCTCCCCTCTAGTAACTGTGAGTGTGTTGTCTATATTTAAGAGTCTGTTTTTTGGGGGTGCCTGGGTCATTAAGCGTCTACCTTCAGCTCAGGTCATGATCCCAGGGTCCTGGGATCGAGCCCTGCATTGGGCTCCCTGCTCCGTGGGAAGCCTGCATCTCCCTCTCCCACTCCGCCTGCTTGTGTTCCCTCTCTCGCTGTGTCTCTCTCTGTCAAGTAAATAAATAAAATCTTAAAAAAAAAAAAAAGTCTGTTTTTTTGTCTCTCTTTTGTTCATTTTGTTTCTTAAATACCACATATGAGTGGAATCGTATGGTATTTGCCTTTCTCTGATTGACTTATTTCACTTAGCATTATGTCCTCTAGATTCATGTTGTTGCAAATGGCAAGATGTCATTCTTCTCTATCTATATCTGAGTAATATTCCATTTTACATACATATACCACGTCTTCCTTATCCATTTATCTCTTGATGGACACTTGGGTTAGATCCATATCTTGGCTATTGTAAATAATGCTGCAGTAAACATGAGGGTGCATATATCTTTTCAAATTAGTGTTTTTGTGTTGTGTGAATACCCAATAGTGCAATTACTGGATCCTATGGTAATTCTATTTTTAATTTTTGAGGAACCTCCACACTGTTTTCTGCTGGTGCTGTGGCTGCACCAGTTTGCCTTCCCACCACCAGTGCACAGTTTTCTGCCCATTTTTCAAATGGATTATTTGGGGGTTTTTTGGTGTTGAGTACCTCTTATCAGATATATCACTTGCACTATCATCTTCCGTTCAGTAGGCTATCGTCTTTTGTTGTTTCTTTTGGTATGGAGAAGGTTTTTATTTCGATCTAATCCCAATAGTTTACTTTTGTTTTTGTTTCCCTTGCCTTAGGAGACATGTCTAGAAAAATGTTCCTACAGCCAGTGTCAAAGAAATTATTGCCTGTGCTCTCCTCTATGATTTTTATGGTTTCGGGTCTCATATTTAGGTTCTTAATTTATTTTAGGTTTATTTTTGTGCATAGTGTAAGAAGGTGGTCCAGGTTTCCCAACACCATTTGTTGAAGAGACCGTCTTTTTGCCACTGTATATTTTTGCCTCCTTTGTCGTACATTACTTGCCCATATAATTGTGGGTTTATCTCTGGACTCTATTCCATTAATCTGTGTGTCCATTTTGTGCCAGTACCATACTGTTTTGATTACTACAGCTTTATAGAATATCTTGAAATCTAGTATTGTTATACTTCTAGTTTACTACTTCTTTTTCAAAATTGCTTTGGCTATTCAGGGTCTTTGTGGTTCCACACAAATTTTAGGATTATTTGTTCTAGCTCTGTGAAAAATGCTTTTGGTGTTTTGTTAGGGATTGCATTAAATGTGTAGATTGCTTTGAGTAGTGTGGACATTGTAACAATATTTGTTCTTCTAATCCATGAGCATGGAATATCTTTTCATTTGTTTATGTCTTCTTCACTATCTATTTATTTATCTGTCTGTCTGTCAGAGGGGGAGAGAGAGAGAGCACAAACAGGGGGAGCGGTAGGCAGAGGGAGAAGCAGGTTCCCCGCTGAGCAGGGAGCCTGTCGTGGGACTTGATCCCAGGACCCTGGAATCATGACCTGAGCCAAAAGCAGATGCTTAACCAACTGAGCCACCCAGGCGTCCCTTTTTCGACATCTTTCATCAGTGTTCTATAGTTTTCAGAGTACAAGTCTTTCATCTCTTTGTTTAGTTATATTCTTAAGTATCTTATTATTTTCAGTACAATTATAAATGAGATTGTTTTCTTAATTTCTCTTTCTGCTACTTCATTGTTAGTGTATAGAAATGTGTCAGATTTCTGTATATTGATTTTGTATCCTGTGACGTGACTAAATTCATTTATCAGGTCTAGTAGTTTTTTAGTGTGGTCTTAAGGTTTTCTACATACAGTATCATGTCATCTGCAAATAGTGGAAGTTTTACTTCTTCCTTACTGATTTCTTCTTGTCTGATTGCTGTGGCTGGGATTTCCAGTACTATGTTGAATAAAAGTGGCAAGAGTGGATGTTCTTGTCTTGTTTCTGATCTTAGGGGAAAGTTTTTTTCCCATTGAGGATGATGTTAACTGTGGGTTTTTCATAGATGGCCTTTATTATGTTATGTTTCCTTTAAACCTGGTTTGTTAAGAGTTTTTATCATGAATGGATGTTGTACTTTGTCATATACTTTTTATGCATCTCTTGAAATGAGCATATGGTTTTTATGCTTTCTGTTGTTCATGTGACCTATCACATTGATGGATATGCAAATATTGAACCACCCTTGCATCTCAGGAGTAAATCCCACTTGATCATGTTGAATGATTTTCTTAATGTATTGTTGGATTTGGTTCGCTAATATTTTGTGGAGAATCTTTGCATCTGTGTTTATCAGAGATACTGGCCTGTAGTTCTTTTTTTGTAGTGTCTTTACCTGCTTTTTATTTATCTTTGAGTAATGTGTACAATGTGTATGAATAGCCCATCCATTCACATTACTTGTTTTTTCAGCTAGTGGATGGACCCTTCTGAGATGGGTGGGCATAGCTTTTTAGTTTCTATTGATTCCATTCCCTGCCTCCTTGGCTTGCTCTATCCTCTTACCTTCCAATCACACTCTGGTCTAGGGCTTGGGAAATAATATAGGAGATATAGTCCCTGGCTCATCAAGGAGAGAGCCTCATAGAAGGAGCCTGATGATGAATAGATGAGGGTGGTGAGGTCTAAGCCTGCTGGAATGGCAAGCTCTCTGGGGTTTTCTGGGACTGTCAAGGGGAGAGGCAAGAAGGGTGTCACGAAGGATGCAGTGATGTAGCCATGTCCTTAAGGGTGAGTAGATACTTACCATTCACTGCACGTTTACAGAAAGGCTTATTATAGCTCAGTTTAAAGAAAACAGAATAGCTTAAAGATGCAGGTTCTAACTGGAGTTATTGGTCTCTCGATTGAAGTACAGATGTCTTTGCCCATCTGCCTCATTCCCTTAATTTGATATGTATTAGCAAAAGGAGAAAATGTGTGTGAGGGGTGTGTGTGTGTGTGTGTGTGTGTGTGTCTTAGAGAGATGGATGGATTCAGGTAATGGAACACAGCAGAGTCTGGTCTTCATGAGTTAATAAATCCTGTTGGCTTGTTAGCCAACCATTCCATTGCAGTGTCCCTTCAAGGACTGTCTACCTCATGAGCCCTCTTTCTTCTTGGCTTTTAGGGCAGGCTGTCCCTGCTGGATCCCATGTGCGGCTGAATCTCCAGAGTGGGGCAAGAGAAGTGAAACTCCAAGAAGAGGACAAGTTCCGAAGTAATTTGAAAGGGTTGAAAAAAGGCAGAAGGTACAGTGACAACCCTAGGGACCGGGAGGTTGACAACATTGATTTTATAATACTGAAAGTAACGACAGTGTGATGTTTGTTACCCAAATTCATGTGGCTTTTTAAAAATTTTGAAATTTAGTAGTCTAGAATTTGTGATAAATCTGTCAGGGTTTTGTGGAACTTTACTTGTAGAATCTTTGGGAAGAAATAGTTTGCAAAGCAAATTGATACTTTAGGAAAGGCTGTAGGGGGAATGCTTAACCTGCTTTAAAAATGAAGCTATTTTCCCAGTACTTTAAGAGCACCCATTTGAATCCCAACAATTAATGTGCTGATTACAGATGAGTCATCTATTCATTAAAACAGGCCTGTTAGGCCTTCTGCTTTGCAGTAATACTTCCTTGGTGAACAATAAAATTGCATTTTAAACTCTTTAATTCAGACTAACTTTTCCTCTTGTTAGTCCATATTAAACAGGCTTTCTTGCAGGATAAAAGTTCTCCAATGGTAAGAGATTGCTTTATTTTTTAATAACCAGTTTAGAGTATTTGATTTTGGACAATTTGTCTCTATTTTTCTGTTCTTTGCCTTGAATTAGTAAGTATTATTTGCAAGTTCTTTTTTATGTGAGGGAGGAGGAAGCATGGGGTTTGCAGGGGCTGCTGGAATTGGGCAATTTGAAAGGTCATAAATACCAATCATGAGGTTTCTAACACAAGGACCAGCAAATTATGGCCTGTGGGCCATACTGGGACTGCTACTTATTTTTGTACAGCCCACAGCTAAGTTGTTTCTTACATTTTTTAACGGTTGGAAAAAAGCAAAAGAATGATATTTCATGGCTTTTAGAGATTTCACTGTCCGTAAATAAAGTTTTATTGGAAAACAGTTATGCTCATTCGTTTATGTATGGTCTGTGGCCACTTTCCTGTTACCTGGCAGAGTTGAGTAGTTGGGACGATTGCCATAAGGCCCATAAAACCTGAAATATTATGTGGTCATACCAAAGAGTTTGATGCCCCTGTTCTAAATACATGCAAGTATTGGCAATCAATAATGGATTGAGCAGGGTTAATGTTACTCAGTCCTTGAATTTTCGTTATTTCGACAGTATTCTGCGGTTAGATAAGAGCCAGAAAGGGAGCATAGAGACCCAATTCTTACCTGAGTCATTTCTTTGATGTACTCAACAAAAGGTTATTCAGCCTGTCCATATGTACCTTCAGTCCTGTAGCACCCACAACCCCACAGAGCAGCCTGCTCAGATGTGGGTAGTTTTTAGTGTTAGAAAATTTGATTGTATATGATGATAAGATAAGGAGATATTTGTCCTCCACACAGTCACTCCAAACTGGGGAGGATCTTTATCTTCCCCCATCTCTCTTGATAGGCTTATACCTGGAGGCCATATGATGATTCATTTCTCACAGTCATTGAAGAAAGAATAAAATTTCATTGTTGTAACCCCTGCCAAGCTCCCTCCATCCCTAGCACACATATTATGCACACATATATCAGTGTCTCAGAGTATGTCAGGAGGTCTTTTATCACCTCTGTGCCAAGTCTTATTTTCTAAATAAAAAGGCTATTTTATTCTTGATTTAAGAATATTGAATTAGGAGCTTGATTAATTTGGAATTTGTTGATTTTACTACTGTGGAAAGTTCTTTTTCCAGGACCTGACCGTAGATCTTCAGTAAGATTGTGGAATGCTTTATTGGTTGCTCTTATCTTTTTAGAATAGAAATCAGAGTTATTTGTGTGGTCTGTAATAGGCACACCATAAGAGAGAGATACCTGTTCTATTTCTACCTCTTTTCTCCTTTGGAATGTTTCTGAGGGTTCTGGTCTGGAATGGCTTCCAGGGTATACTGGACATATCCTCTTACTTCTCAGCATTTATTAGTAGTGGCAAACCTGTCTGGACAGCAACCCAAAGGCATGGACAAGGTGGTGTGGGTTTCACTGCTGTGAGCTCAGTAAATCTCTGCCTGCCTTTGATGGTGGCTTCTTCCTTCTGCTGTGGACCTCATCTCGGCCTCCTCCAGTTCCACTTAAAAGTGTCTTCCTGGCTCTTCAGTACCAGAATGGGAACAGAGGCCAAAGGTCAGGGCTCATTTCCACAATTGTTACAGTATTTTGATTATCTGCTTATTCTGTTTTGGGGGACAAGACAGACAAGACCCACATCTTTCCATCAGATTGTCAAAGAGGTTGGTGATCACAGGGTTAAGAACCACTGGCTAAGGAGAGATGGGGACAGTCCATTTAGCCTAATCCATGGCAGCCTGTCCACCAGTTCTGCTGGATACGGGACTGGCCACACTGCTAACTAGAGCTGTAATGACTCTGGGCTATAAAACCTGGGATAAGACATCTGACTCTGACTTGTTTCAGAGGCCTCTCCTGGCACTGCCTTCAGTGTATATTTGGTTCCTAGCAGCAGGGCTTTCTCTTGCTATTTATGTCTTAGGCATTGTCATCTCCACTGGTTTTAGTCCATATTCCTGTCAACATCCCAACATTGTATCTGTCTTTTTTACCCTGGAACAACCATCTTCTTTGAATCACCCTCTTTTGTTCAGAGGGATGAGGGACAGTGTACATCCAGGTTTTCCCATCTTGAGCATTTAACATGGTACAATACAGCATTGTGGTTAATAGAGTGGGCCAAAGACCAGGCCATTTCCTTGCTCCATTCATTCATTTTACAAAAGACCTATTGAGTGCCTATGTGCCACACATTAGAGGTACAGTAGTAAACAAAACAGGATGTCAGCATTAGAGAGGCTGGCCAGCAGAAAAACAGAAAAATAAAAATGCAAGTGAAGTAATTACAGATAGTGGTAGTATGTAGGGAAGAAGTAAGCAAGGTAATCAATCCCTAGGGAAGGCCACTTTAAATAGGATGGTTTGGAAGACCTCATTAAGATGATATTTGAACTGAGACCTGAAGAATGACTGGGATTTAGTCACGCAAAGAGTTAATTTTACAGGGTTAAGGTTAGAGCATCTCAGGCAGAGGGAAAAAGAAGAGTCTCCAGCTTTGTCAAGGAAGAGACTTCATCAAGTTTGGGAAACAGGCAAATGACCAGGATGACTAGAGAGTAGGAGAAGGAAGAAGAGTAATAGATGATTTTGGAGAGTGGCCTGATGAGGGGCCAGATCATGTGGAGTTTGGAGGTGCATGTTGAGTGGTCTTCATTTAAGTGGAACTGTAATGGAAAGCCAGTGGAGGATTTGGGGTGGGAGAGTAGTTTAATATGATGTAGTTTAACAAAGTCAGTCTAGTTGCTGTGTGTATGGAGAGTAGATTGAGGATGGACAAAAGAAGCACAGAGAGACAATTAGGGTGTCATTTCAGTAGATCAAGTAAGACATGATGGTGGCTTAGTCTAGTGTGTCATGAGTGGTTGGGTGTGGAGATTTAATTTGGAGGTAGTGCCAACAGGACTTGCTTATGATAGATTTAGGGGTTGAAGGAAGGTGGTGGGGGAGGTATTTGAGATAAAGCCTCATTTTGGGATTTAACACAACTAGGTTCTTAGAAGTACCATTTATTGAAATGGAAAAGATTGAGAAAGGAACAGATTGATGGGGAGAAACGTCAAGACTTATGTTTTAGATGTAGTAAGTTTGAGAACCTGATGAACATCTGAGATCCATGATATATATCAGGTAGTTGTACCACAGTCTGGCTCATACTCAGGGGAGAGGATTGGTTAAAGATGTAAATTTGGACATCATTGCCTGACATACTTTATTTAGTTTTAAAGATTTTATTTTTTTGAGAGTACCAGCGGCGGTGTGGGGGAGGAGCAGAGGGAGAGGGAGAAGCTGACTCCCCGCTAAGCATGGAGCCTGATGTGGGGCTTGATCCCAGGACCCCAAGTTCATGACCTGAGCTGAAGGCAGATGCTTAACCGACTAAGCCACCCAGGTGCCCTGCCTGACAGATATTTTAAAAGAACTAGGGAAGAATGTGGAGATAGAGAAGATTGTTCAGGATTGAACTCCGAGGCATTCAAGTATATAGGGTTCAGATAGGAGATGAGAAACCAACAAAAGAGAGGAGGGAAGAAGGGGAAGAAACAGCAGAATGTAGTAACAAGAAGCTAGGAAGGAGAGTGTTTCAACGAGGGAGGGGTGAACTGTGTAGTGCTGCAGAGCAGTTGAGGAGCATGACATGAGTGAAGAGTCCCATTGGATCTGGTCGTCCATTATTTTAGTAATTTTTTTTTTTTTAAGATTTTATTTATTTATTTAATTGGCAGAGAGAGAGAGAGAGAGAGACAGACAGCGTGAGAGGGAACACAAGCAGGGGGAGTGGGAGAGGGAGAAGTAGGCTTCCCGCCGAGCAGGGAGCCCGACGCGGGGCTCGATCCCAGGACCCCGGGATCATGCCCTGAGCCGAAGGCAGTCGCTTAACCAACTGAGCCACCCAGGTGCCCCCATTATTTTAGTAATTTTGATGAGAAGTTTTAGTAGGCTGTGAGAACTGAATCTGGATTAGAGCAAATGGCAGTGTTGGTAGCAGTCACGAAGATGAGAATAGTGAGTTAAGACAATGTGTTCATAAAGTTTTACCTTGAAGGAGAACAGGGAAATGGCATGATAATTAGAGACTCTGGAGTCCAAAGAGTGTTGGTATATTCAAAGGAATAATCCAACCAAAGAGAGAGATTGAAAATGCAGACAAGAGGGAGCAGTATAATTATGGGAGTTAAAGCTTTTGAAAAGGGAAGTGGGATCTGGAACATAAGTCTAATAGGAGTAGGGACACTGTTATCCATTTGCCATAGAAGGGAAAGCAGACAATGTATATTTGGTGCAGGTTGGTGTATAGAGGTGATGAGGGGAATAGGAATGCATTCTTGATGATAGCATCTATTTTTCTGAGTGAAGAATGAAGTGAGAATACCACCTGAAGATGATTTGATGTCTGTGTGTGCAGTCACATATGTGCGCACTTGTATGTATGTGTAATTTGGGCTGAGAATGGGTGATGGTGAGCGGCCTGGAAGAGTGGCACTTAAGGCGGTAAATAGAGCAATGAGACATGATGGGATTTGTTCCGACCAAGTCTTAGAGGACGGAGGGGTAATCCGTTCAAGCTGTGCCCCCAAATACTTATCTCTCTCTTAGGGATAAGGGGCAGGGCAGTGGCATCCTCATGCTACTGGCAGCGGGTGATGCTCTTCTGGAAGAGGGATCATCTTCCCTACCTCGTAGGATTGTGGTAATCAGCTGAATGAAATAATACTTTTAAAGGATTAAAACAGTGACTGACACATGGTTAAGTGTTCAATAAATGGGAGTGATTAACTATTATTAATTAGTTTATGAGGATTGAGGTTTAGAGAAGAAAAGTGTTTTTCTCAGGGCTCTAAGGGGTCTCTGGGATGAATCAAAGACTAAATGGGCAAAGCCCTAAGAGCATGTGCCTCTCATAAGAGCTGAGGCCTGCTGGCATCTTGACTGTTTGACTGATATGCTTATCTGGCCCAGAGCAGCCCATTAGCCCCCTCCTTCCCCACCTGCATATATCTCCTGGGTTATCCTTAAACCATCCCCCTCCCAACTGCCTCCCCCTGCCCAGAGCTGGACAGTCTTGTCAAGCACAGACCACATTCCACACTTACTTTGTCCATGTCACTCTTGGTCTTACCTCTCTGTTCACTGATCAGAAATCACCATTGGTGGCAAAACGCACTCCCCATCCCATGAATGCCTTCTCTCCAAGACGAATGGTCATGGCTTGGATCAGCTCCAGGGGGCTTTGAGAAGACACCACTCAAGTCTTCATCAGGTTCTTGAGATGACATCCACATTGGTTACTTTCCTCCCTCTCCTCGGAGGCTGACTTTGGAAGATGGTTGGCTTTGCATCTAGTCCTCAATAACTCAAACTTATTCCTTGGTCAGAATGACACCTAGCTCCTGCATTTACTCTGTGCCCAGGAGTTGGTTTTAAAGGTGTGAATTTATCCAGCCTGTTTTTGTGAAGAAAGATTGCCTTGTGAAATCAGGCCAGGCACGTGGTGGGGAGGGGCGGGGGGGCTCAGGTCTCCATTGGTCCCTTTAGTAGAAGAATATAAATAGGGTGCTTGTTATATCCTTTTTGCCCACTATCCTCCAGGAGGTCCTGCCTGTCACGCTGACAGAACAGCATTGCACTGACATTCCAGACATACTCCTGCCTGTGTAGCTGGCTGAGGGCTCTCTGTCCATGGTAGGCCTCTGTCTGCCCCATGGCATTTGCTCCTCTTTCATGAAATGACCCCATCTTCAGCTGTGTATTTCCTCCTTTAGCTTCAAGGTCAGACTACCTGTTGGACTTGTGGCTGACCAAAGGCAAAGCTAGAGTGATGCACTCTGAGTTAGAGCTGGCCTGGCTTACCTTGTTTTGGAGTGCCAGCCCCTGCGGTGGGGGGGGTGTTTTTTTCTTGGGAAAGATGATGCCTCCTTCCTGACTCTCACCTTCTCTTTGGACAGGCTGGACATCAACACTAACACCTACACATCTCAGGACCTCAAGAGTGCACTGGCAAAATTCAAGGAGGGGGCAGAAGTGGAGAGTTCAAAGGAAGACAAGGTGTGTGATATTCTTTCCAGGGAGTTAGTAAGCCTACTGGACAGCCTTGAAGGGAATCACTTCTCCCTGAAGCTGTTAAAATAAACATGGGGTTATGATAATAATATTGTAAAATAATTTAAAGGGCAGTTATGCCAAATAAGTAATCCTTTATAGACAATTTAAAAATATATACCAGTGGGTGCCTGGGTGGCTCAGTTGGTTGAGCGACTGCCGTCGGCTCAGGTCATGATCCTGGAGTCCCGGGAT